GTTAACAAATAGGGGGAATTCTTTGCCAATTCTGCTAAGATATATAGTGTTGAAAGATTGTAACTGAATATGAGAAACAGAAGGGGAGATTTTAATGGCTTCACTTTAAACTATAAACAGTGAAATCCATTTAGAAAAATCTATGTAAAGTAATAAGTTAAAAAATATATATATATATAAATCTTGCAATTATTAAAATTTCTAATGATCTCTGTTACAAATTGGACGTGTGAAATCCACAAGTTAAAAAAAAAAAAAAATGTTACCTGGTCTCAAAAAAAAATAAAAATAATTATGACTACCATAAAATGGAGTCATGTACTGACTACTACCAAATAGTTCACAGGTCACTGCAAATAATTCAATCTGATACAAATAGTTCAACTATATTATTCAGGTGCAAAATAAAAAATAAAAATTAATCTTTTTTTTTTTTTTTTTTTTAAATCTCAATTATATACCCCTTTTAATACAACTTTACAAATTTCTCATAAGTGATTTCATTTTTTAATTCTAAACATGTTACACCTGGCTTAAACAAACTTGCCAAGACAAAACAATACATAACATGGATATAACGTCAATAAATTTTAGTATCCTTCCCACTCTGCACAAATCTTTTAAAAATATCTATACATATTATCCCCGAATGCTGTTATTACAAATAAAAGACTTCATATCATTCAGAATGTAACTTTTCACTGTTACCTTTGTACAGTAGCTTCAGCAAGGGAATATAATAAATTTTAAAAACTACAGGACCATTCTTTTGAATATATATATATATATATATATATATATATATATATATGTGTGTGTGTGTGTGTGTGTGTGTGTGTGATACATATATGTAAACATGTGAGAAAATATAAATTTGTAATGTTACAAATGAAAAGGCAAGAACAAGGGAGATAACTTGGATTCATCAGTAGCTGGCAATGTTTGTCAGCATTAGCATTTGCTCAAGTAGAGACCAGTGAAGCTGGCAACAATTGTCCTAAAATATTGGCTATCAGGGAAAATGTATTCTCAAGACAATTGCAAGATAGCTAATAAAAGAGTTACACGTTTTCTTTTTGCAGTTAACTGCTTTTTTTTTTTTTTGTCTCAACTAAGTGTGTTCATTCAGTTAAAAGGATCTAACAAATTTTAGGGTGTTAACTGAACCAGAATTATTATGTTTAATACATGTTCATTTGAACTTGTACAGCAAGAATTCAACAAAGATTTTGAATAAAGGTTAGTGTGTAAGAACATAACCTATACAGTGGAACTACACAGTTAGACAAGTCTGTCTCAGAATATTAAAAAAAAAAAAATTAAAAAAAAATTAAAAATAATTAAAAAAATCAAGCCTCAATTGTTTTCAGTCTTTTTTTCAAAAACACTAATATTAATGTTTTTCCACTCTCAACAAGCAATTAATGAACAATTGACAACAGGTGTCCATAAGATTCACCATACACACAAAAAAATTACTTTCTTTCTTGAAATATTTCAATTTTGGCAAGAAAGAAATCTATGCAAAGACTTGTTCTTTTGTTTATTTTTTTTTTCCAGCAGCACACATGGTTTTAAAGAATCAGGCGCCATTGTCAGTTAAGTCAGGTATTGGATAGTGTTAACAACATGATTGATTGTTTACTGTGAAAATTGTAGCTGAATAATTATTAACTAAAGTCTGTAACAATTTCAGCTTAAAATAATGAGTAAGTAACAGTGCCTGACATATCTGTGAATAAAACAGAACAAATAGAGGGGGGGGGCAAAGTTGCTTGAAGGGCTGAACAAAATTGATTAACAGATTTTACAAGAATGTCAAAGTCTCAAAAAATAAAAAATAAAAAAAAATGTGGAGAGGGGTGATTGATTGGAGATAGCTATATTATAAATTTTTCACAAAGAGTTTAAGAAAGAGGGTCACCTGGGTCAGGATGCCCTGTCAACAATCAATCTGATAAAGTTCTTTTACTTCATTTCATTCAAAAAGGAAGTGGGTGGGGGGGAATTTGTGAAGCAGACATTTCATTCATACAAAAGACTAGGGAGGGAATATTTATATGTAGCTGTTTTTGGGGATTTTTTTTTAAATTTTGTTTTTGTAGGTCAGGAATTGAGTAAAAGAAAAAAAAAAAAAAGGAAAATTGATTCCAATCAAATATAGTTTAAGGTCATATTTTCTTTACTACCACAACTTTAAAAAGACGACTTGCTTACTGGTAGCGCATAAAAGAGTACAAAAATCACACAGACAATAACATCAATCAACTGAGGTCATATTTTGTGGTCAGTGCCTACATTTGAAGTCAGCACCCTTCCTCATCTCCATACTTTAAAAAAAAAAAAAAAAAAAACAGGAAGACTAAGATTGATACATACTTACTTACATCTATCTATCTATCTATCTATCTGCATGTACACCTAATTCCATTTATTTATTGTCCCGAAGGATAAAGACACTTAAGGAGGAGTGAAAATTGGATAGGTGGAGCCATGTACACAAGAATAGTTTTAATTGCTTGATGGTATTATAGGGAAGCATTCTAAGAAATGAACCATCAACAGGAATAAAGGATAACATAGAACTGGAGCAGTGTACCAGCCTCAAGCCAGAGAAAGGACTTTGGTGACCAGAAGATATCAAAAGTCAAAATCTAGCTTGTCAGTTCAGAAGGCATCCATTTTAGAAAAGTGAGATTTCAAAAGAAAAAGAAAAAAATATACTTTTGCCACCCCTTCATATTCTAACAATGCAGAATGTAGCTAGCTGTACGCAGTTCCAAGTGGTGGTGGTGGTGGTAGTGGTAGTGGTGGTGATGGTGGTTTTGTCACAAGGGGATGGAGGCAGAGAAGCAACACGAGGTCTAACTTAAAAAGGTGGTTTCAAAGAGAATCAGTAAGGTGGAAACATGTGGTTAGAGCTTGACCAGACAAGGTCGGTCAGGTCGTTGTGATTGTCCAGATGTAAACAAGCTAAACTGACCACAAGGCAATAATTTTTTTTTTTGTTTTTTTGTTTTTAGTAACAAAAAAAAAAAAAAAATCTTTCTAAATCATTTTAATACTCAGTATTCAAACTCCATATCTAAATTAACAGCTACTTAAACAACAAAATGGGGAAGTACAAAAGAAAAAAAATTAAAATACTTGTGGTAATTTATGAAAAGTTTTATGATATTTATTAACGAATCATTGAGAGAGAAAAAAAAAAAAAAAGGAAAGATTTATTTTATATTATAAAAAGCTGACATATCCATCTGGGAATGTGATTCCAAATAATTTACAATGGAATATTATTGGCTTAAATTAAAAAAAAGAAAAAAAACAAAAATCTGAATAGTTTTCCACCTTAGCACTAATTCTACTAAAAAATAAACTTATTGAACAGGAAGTATATATATATATATATATATATATATATATATATGCATACAGACAATGAATTTAATAAAATTAAAACTTGAAACACTATTTCCTACAATAACATATCTTCGTTACTAACCTATATAATTAGGAGCTTGAATATTGTATCAAAGTTGCCACACCTTGGTAAGCTGGAAGTTAACCCCAAAATTAACAAAATTCCCCAATAATTAACAAGTCTAAAAAATGTCCTCTCAAGAGGAAAACTCACAACTCCTTTGCATTTTTTCATTCAATTTAAGATTTCCAGACTACATACTTCAATCATATTGAAAAAGAGATAAAAGATTTCTCAAATTTCACCATTTTGCTTCTGATTGTATGAAATCACCACAGAAAAAGGTCAGGTCACAAGTAGTTTCAAAATTTTAAATATTTCAGAAAATTAATTTACACAGAAATTATAATTATTTTAGATGATTTTTTTTTTTTTTTGTTGGATTTTTTGGGTTTTTTTAGACATGATCTAAAATTTTGATATTTTGATTCAAAAGTCATTTTCTAATGTATATCTTCTTTTTTTTATTTTATATTTTTTTTTTTAATATATGTGTGTGTGTAGATATTTAAGGAATGGAACACGAACCCATCAGTCCACACACAAAACAAAAAACTGATTGGTGGGTTTTAACAATACCATGATAATTTTTGCTGCAAACAATGCAACAATCTGTCCAATGTGCTGTACAACTAACAGGGATTATTTGACTACTGGACCTTGATACATTATATTAGTCAGTTCCTAAATTCCCAAACTATCAAAACATTAAAGAATCACAAAATGTACATATTAAAAAGGGAAAAATGTTCAGTTCTAAAGTATTCTCTCTCTTTGAGAAATTATGAAATTTAAAATAAGTATAGAAAAAATAAAACATTTAGGATTATATTAATGTTATATAAGTGTTTCTTTTTTTTTTAATATTTGAAATCTAACTAGTAGAGCCCAATAATGTTTCTAACTTTAGCACCATTGGAGGAAAGAAAAACTTGGGTAAGGTTTTTGTGTGTATAGATGGGATTATGTGTGATTTTTTTTTTTTTAACTTTTTTGTTTTATCACTTAGCAAAAAAAGGGAAATGAATCTGTATAACCCCTCCTCCCAAATTAAATTTACATGACACTAATTTCCTTTTTTTTTTAAATTGTCTAAAGATTTATAGGAATTAGGTGAAGAATAAAGAGATATCTTTATTGAGGGGATGTAAGGGTGATGCTGTAATGTGGGGGGGTTAATGGTTACAATTGACAGTTAAAATGACAAGATGATTTTTTTTTTTTTTCCATGATAATGAAAGACAAGGCAAATGTTGCTTGGAGATGAAAAAAAAAAACCTTCCCAATTCCCTTATAAAAAAAAAAAAAAAAAAAAAAAAAAAAAAAAAAAAAATCGTGGCAGGTTACTTCCCCCACCTCAATCTTAACATACACACATCCACCTCATCACTGCCTACCCCACCAATTGACCAACCAACCAACCATTGATGTTGCCGCCACTAATGCCATCCTTGTGTTCCTACTGCTGCTGCTTCTAAACGGTATGTATGTCACCACTGCACTCAACAATTACAAATCATCAAATGGTTGACTCAGACACAAGTTTTTTCATCCGATCAATTTCCACCTGCATGTTCAACCGCACCTTCTTCTCCTCATCCAACTCAAAGATAATGTCTCTAACTTTGCGGTGAAGTGTCGTCTTCACAGACTCTAGGTCTTGGCGCAGTTTCTCATTCTCTGCCTGAAGATCCTGGAATGATGACCTGGTTACCATGTTTGCTTTCAATTCTTTGATCTCTTCAAGTAACTCTTTCAGATTATCACTGCTATAGGCCGCCCCAACATCTGAAATGAAAGACAAAATACATGAATGTAAGCACAAAGAAATTAAACAGCTTAAATGTCAAATAAGAATCACATCAAAGATATAAGGGGTTACTGAAAGTGAAAGCGACAGCAGAGAGGACAATTAAAGAACAGATTTCAAAGAAACAGATGATCATCATCATAGTTGACAGGAAAGCATGAAGCCAGAAGAGTGTTCCACAAGTAAGAAGTGTGGAAGAAGAAACTATTAGCATAGTTATGGTTAGAACTAGTAATTTCAATAGAAATTATGAGACTTAGCTGCCAGTCTCGTACTATGCTTAAATTTTTGAAGTCAAGGTACCAACCAGAATACTCACTGTTAAAATATTTATAGAAAAAGCAAAGGAAAGCTATGTTGTGAGAATGGGAAAGTGACTGAAACTGAGATGCCAGGTCAAGACCAATAACATTACCAATTCTTTGGATTTTGTCAAGAATCTCTAGACAAAGCAGAAGCACCAGACCAGATGTGGCAACAATATTTGATGCATAGATGAATGGGAAACTTATAAATATGCAAGACAGATTCTGGCAAAGAAGATTGTCTAGCAAACTGGTTTTCCTAACAGAAGATTTAGCAACTGATTAAATATAATCATCCCACTTCATGTCAATGGGAAATGTGAGACAAAAGAGGCGCAATGAGTTGGTATCTTGGAGGTTAGCATCAGCCATGCTGATGAAAGACAAAAAAGTTTCTTTAACAAGAGAGAGCAGTTTGGTTTTAGAGGTGTTAAAATATAAAGCCATTTCCTGCCCGATTTCTTAAGAAACAGCATCTATGATTTTCTTTCCAGATTAGTATTTCCATCTTTATTGTTTTCATTATTTCAGCTAATGTGTTTGTTCTTCAACCTTCTTCAGGTGTATGGTAAGTCTGGTAACCATTAGAGAGTTTTCAATAGAACTTCTTTTTTTTTTTTCTCACAGTTTAATTCCCAGTAATAGAAAAGTAGGTATCAGTTTTTAAAAATAAATTTTGATAGTAATTTGATTTTAGTATTGCATAACAATTAACCTTTCACTTTTTATAAAAGAAGATCACAAAAAAATATAGAAGTGAAATATAAATTTAAAGTAACCGATTCAGAAGTTTCAACCAATTCCATATAAATGAAACATCATATTGAAACACTGGTTCTCATACAATCACCAAAGTTAAGCAACGTCAGTACCTAGATGGGTGACTGTTTGAGAATACCAGGTGCTGTAAGCTTGGATGTGCTAAGAATCGGAAATCGGGGAGTCAGGCTCCAATTCCAGTCAGGGTCGTTAGGCACAAATATCTCTGAGAATGGCATGAATACACCTCTTCTCCCCACTATGGGTTAATTAGTAGGACTTGCATCAGTAAATCATTATTAGCTAAAAAAAAAAATATTCTAACAAACTAAAAATATTTTCTGGCTTTAAATAACTTGCAAAAGATTGATAAACCATAAAAACAAATCAATCAATCAATATAAATGAGAAAAAATGCTGAATGTAATCAAATATCAATATTTATGCATACTATGAAAAAAGTATTTCTATAAAAGACACATTCAGTCATTAAGTTTTACAACTCAGCCATTGTGAGCTATGAAATGACAGTGTTTTGTACAGTAAAAGGGATCATCAATTCAAAATTTTGAAATCACTAAAATTTATCCTAAAATGCACCTAATATTGAGTCAACTATCTGCCCAAACTTTGTGAAAAAAGCAATAAAGCCGAAAATCAAACAAATACTTAATAGACATCATTGAAAGATTGGCAAAGTTTAGCCTTCATGCCCACAATAAAGCAGTATGTCAAAAGGGTAATTTTTCCTTTGCCATCATTATTATTTTGTAGTAGCTTCACTCCCTCAGCAACATTTATTGTTTTAAAAATCAGTATTTTAATAAAACCCAAACATATGAAAGTGAATTTTATACATTTTTTGTTTTGTTGAGAATTGATGACAAAAATATTAAATACTATTTATTTATTAGATTGTTTATTTACAAGAAGAATTTTACATTTACAACATTCTAAAAATGTAAACTAACTAATACAATTCAATGTTTACCAATTTGTTTCTTGGGGAGAAATCCCTTTGTTTTAAGTGCATTTACGTCAATGTGAACCAACTATAATGAAATCTTTATTATTTACCATTTTATAAAGTTAAAATCAATTGGCAATTCACTGATGTTTTGCCAACCATTCCAAAGAGCACAATTCTTTGAAAATTTTGTAACTTTTCATAAATTTTTGAATAAAAAGATTTACTTTCAAATTTATTTCTTTAATAATAACAAATAATAAAATCTTTATAAAATAGTGAATAATAAATATAGCATTGTACCTGGTTCACATATTTTTATAATCTTGTAAATAAACATTGCTGAGGTAGCCTGGGTAGTTTAAAGTAATAGTAGTGTCAATGGAAAAATTGTCCTTTTGATACACCAATTTTTGCGGATTCAAAAGTTAAACACTGTTGAAACATTAATGTCAGAACAGTTGGTTTTGTTTGTTTTTAGTCTTTACATGTGTAAATGGGCAAAAAGTATTACAATTGAAACTATAAAGAACTAGCAAATCAAATCTGAATAGACAAACAGAGGAGTAGACAGGAAAAAAAAAGTCATGTGCTCAAAATAATGGACATGAAAAAATAATGAAAAGTCTCTATAGTGAAAGGAGTCACAGGAGGTGAAAGAAAATGAATGCATGTGCAAAAAATGTGTAGATTTTAACAGCAAATAAAGACACATATGTGCAGAAAAAAAAAAAACTATTCTATTTTGCATCTTATAAGACACCCCTACCTCTCAAATGAGCTTACATGGGCAACACCAAGTGACTGTGACCTTATGACAATGATACAAAGAAAAGATCATTGCAATGAAATTTAGAAAGAAAAAAGATGTGGAGGAATCTTTGTATGGACACAAAAATGTGTAAATTATATTAACTGGATTCCTATTAATAATAAAGAATTAACAAAATATGCCTTCATTTTTGATGACATAGGTAAATATAAGGAATATAAAAAGACCAAGTAATTGAAAAACGTATAAAGTAGGATTTCTTCCCCAAAAATATTGATTTTGGGGAGTGTACGAGGCCAAGAGATTTTCATCAACCCTTATAGACAGTTAAATTAACAAATTATCAGCAAATAATCATGTTTTTGTAATTTGTAGCATTGTCAATAAGAATGGTAAAAAAAATGTGATAATCACCACTTGGTGAAGATATATCTGTCTTCTTACTCAAAGATGGTGATCGAAGTTTTTGTTGTTCTATAACGGAGGTGACAGACGATGAAGAGGATGATACATAACTGACAGGTCTTTTGGCTTCCTCTTTGTTCTAAAAAAGAAAAAAAAAAAAATCAAATGTTACTCAAGTATTTTCAACAAATATCAGCAGGAGTTTAGATTCTAAGATGATAGTTTTTATATATATATATATATATATATATATATAGGACAATGAAGTTAATATCCACTTTTATATTTAAATACACTCTATTCTTGATATTGAGCACTTTGACCCATGAATATAACATACCTTTTTTATCATATATATATATATATATATATATATATATATATATATATATATATATATATTGTGTATATTTAGGTAGCATATTTTCATTCAAAGAGGTTTGGTTAAATAATTTAGACATTATGTCAATTAGTTTTCATTGTGATCCTTTCAAGTTCACAGATTAATTTCTTGGCAGCCTTAAAAAATTGACTAAGAAAAATACCAAAAATTTTCTTTCAAATAGTTTTTATTTCCCCCAATTACTTTCAGTCTTATCTGAGACCATCTTCAGAGAGTTAAGTTGTCTGTGAGTATGTGTTTTTGTAAATTCAACACATTTCAACTGTTCATTTTTACTGCTTATGCAGTGTTCTAGATTTCAAAGTTCAAATGTTTTTTGTTTTGCTTTTTTTGGTGGTGGGGGGGTCCAGTATAAGGGAAGTAACTTTTCCATTTTTGCTATATATATATATATATATATATATATATATATATATAAGCATTTAAGGACTTTGTTGCTATACTCATAGTTGACTTTATTTATTTTTGGTTTTAATTCTCTTATATAAGGGGTTTCAAGGATTTTTAGTTTTTGCTTATTATTGTTTTTTATGTAATATAGATGTATATTCAACTAATATCTGTCTAATCTGTGAATGTGGGCATAAGTGTTCCTTTAAATGCTGAGATATTGAGCTATACTCGGCCAAATGAAATGCAAGACGTTTTGTTAGCATTGTCATAGTAAAGTCAATGTACATATTGACATTTTATCAGCGATACAATCTCCTAAAGGACATTTAAATTGATATACAATGTTACCCTTTTGCAAGATGCTAGTTGGCAGAGAACAATTGTTTTTGGCAACTAGGTTAGTTGTATTAAATTAGTGTAGTATATAATTAATTTTATTTATTTACTTGGATCAGTGGAGGATATATTAGTGTTTCAGTTTTTTAGAATTTTTTTCCTCCTGTTTATAGTTGGAATGCATTTGATTATGATATAGTAGTTTGATATGTTTACAGTTATTTGATGATGTATTCATTTTTGAACTTGAAAGGGTCACAACAAAAACTAATCGACATGATATGTCTAAATTATCTAACCAAACTTCTGTGTGTGTGTGTGTGTGTCTGTGTATTTATTTATTTATTATTTCTGAGATAAGTATAGGTATAGACATAAAAAATTATACCCAAGCTAGAAAACAGCTCTAACAGGAAATGGCATATACTGGCCTTATTAAAAACTTGCTTCTTTTTTAAAAGAATGTTTGTGGAATGGATTTTTAAAGCCGTATTTATATTAACTACAAAAATATTACATGAAGATAATGATAAGTGGAAAAGCTATAAATGACCTGTTTGACCAGAGAGTGTCTGCGTCATCTAGCTTCTTCAGGTTAGAATGAAAATATCACAAAACCAAGCTTAAATTTTAAATAATTTGAAAAAAATATATCAAGATAAGTTTTTAAATTTCAAATTGTGCTTAAAATTTTGTAAAAACAAATTTTGTATCCATGTCCCTCAAAAGTTGAACAGTATTTTCAATACAATGTAAATGCAAATATTTCAATACACAGTTGAAATGCATTGTATTCAGGCTGATCATACCAACCCAAAAAGATTTTGTGGATACTTCCATCAAAACACAGCTCTTCTAGAACATGGTAACATTTTAAAGAACACAATTTCATATATATATATATATATATATATATATATATATATATATATATATATATATATTGGTGTATTTTGGCAGCAATCAATCTTTTGTACAAGTTTTATTAAAGATGACTGACAAGGTACTGCAGTTAATTTTTTTTTTAAATTTAATTTTTCTTGTGTTTTTTTTCCCTTCTGGACATAAATTTCTTGAAATCCTTAAAACAACAAAACCAAAATACGGCATTTTAATATCACTTAATGTAGAAAGTTTATTCACAAATGTCCCTGCTGTTGAAATCATCAATATAATCTGTAACTGTGTATAAACATAACTTGATTCTACTTCCATCCATCAAAATATTTTAAAAAGTTAATAAACCTAAAATATATGTCCACTATGTAAAAGATATTTATATTTTAGTTGAAGACACAATGATTTAAAAAAAAATAAAAACATTTTTGATAATGGATAAAAGAATAGCAGAAGACACTCAGAAGTACAGAACATTCAGACAATTTCTACACACTATGTCCAGAAAAAACTTTATACAAAGGCAAGAAAAACAAAATGAAAAGCTTAACTGCAATAACTTATCAGACAGCTTTAATGAATGAATATATACGAATATATATTATGAAAGGGACTAAGTCCAACAATTATTTTAATATATTTATTATTTTTACATTATTTTTATAGATACAAATATTTAAGTAAATGCTCTGTTTATAATAAACAGTATTAACAACATTTGCTGGCCTGAATTATGTATGATGTCATTTGTTTACGTTAAGATATGCTTTGAGCAGATCTGAGCATCCAAGGAAATTTGTAATTCGATCTTGTTGATCAGATGTTTCCTCAGAAGGTAATTGGTATAGCATGTCAGACTCTATGATGGTTCCATATAGGAAACAGGTTCAATTCCTGTCAGAAGACACATATTTTCTATGAAATTTCTCACATATTCAGGCAGCTCTGGTAAATGTTGTTAATACTGTTTATTATAAACAGAGCATTTACTTAAATATTTGTATCTACAAAAATAATGTACAAACAATATATATATATATATATATATATATATATATATATATTTATATTTATATATATATATATATATTTGTTTTTACTAAGAAACATAAATTGTAATCATTGATCAGGTATGTAATAGAATTATCTCTAGTTGTACTATCAGCATAGATCTTTGGTTTCTTTATCACAAAAACAACATTTATAAAGAATAAAGTTTTGCAGGAAATTTAATAAATGCCATTTTTAAAATTAAGTCATTGCACATTATTACAAGCAGTAGCATGGAGCAGACAATGTGACCTCCCCAGGCATCCTTATTGTGAGGACATCCAATCAAAGAGTGAAATAAAAATTTAGTTTATATTTAATTTGAATAAAATGTTTATTTCATGTTTTGTCTGTTTTTACATATTTAAAATGTCTTATTTCTTTACATTTGTTAGAGCCCCACCCCCTACTTGAATCTTGAAGCATATAATCAAGGAGTTAGCCCCGGACACCACCAAAACTCTGCACACCACTGATTACAAGAAATTTGTTAAATTTTGACATTCATTTCTAAAAAGACAACCTTATTATTTTTATTCAAATTATTATTTAATCAGAACCAAAAATTTAGCACCAACAAAAAGTGTTAGTATTTATTAAAAAGAAAAAAAAAACACGTTTATAATTTTTATTAACCTACTATTATGGTAAATATCATTCCAATTTTTCATTCTGGATTCAAACAATAATTTCTGTTTAAATAAAAAATAATTTTAAAATGTATTAAAAAAAAAAAATATCACAGTTACCCCCCTTACATTTTCTCTTAAATAACAATCTTAAATTATTCCCCTTTAAGTAAAATTTTTCTTTGGATAATCTGAGCAAATTTTGCTTTCGTAAATTCTCTGCTTAACACATTCTCCCCACATCCAACAGACTTATAAGGCTTAAACTGAAAAATAAATAAAAAACCCATAGAAACGCTGTTTATATAAGCGTTACGTCTGATTAATTTTGATTTCCTGCTTGTAAATTCAAATTGTATATTTTATAGGTTAGGTTTATTCCATGTTACATTGAAGCAATCTGGTGAAATAACATCTTTGCTGAAATCACTTTATGTTTCTACTTTCAGAGTGGCACTTTTTAACATATATTATTCTTACAAAACATGTAAACCTTTCAAAACTGAAAATATTAAATTTTACCCTTTTTTTAGCGATTATTACATCTCAAATTTTTTAAAAGGCATTCTTTAGCTTGACAGCTGTTTACAAGCTCGAAAAAAATTTTTTTTTTTTTACATATCAACATGTAGACCAGTGAAAATTTAAATATTTTTGTTTGTTGCAGACTGCAGAAATTGCAATTCCAATATACATTCAAATACATGGGAGATACAAACTTAGGTTCTATTGAACATTTTTTAAATGACAGTTTTAAGTGATTTATGATAAAAACATTTAAAGATCTGAAATTTAAAATTAAATCAGTGAAAACATCCATATTAAAGAAAATACAATCCAGGAACTTGCTTGGTTTCTTTTAGAGGTGTTTTGTTTTTTTTTTTGTTTTTGTTTTTTTTAAATCAAAGCAGGAAACATTGCAGAAACAACACAAGGCAAAGAATACAATGGAATAACACACCATTAATACTGCAATAAGTTTCAATCACCTTTGGTGTACCAAAAACGTGGCCTTATGTCAGACTTAGTGATACTTACTAAATACTTAGTGGATTAGGTCGTTGAATATTTTTTTCATCAGCACCAATAGTTAGGGGAAAAGTAAATTTAAGATTTCTTGACGGTTTAAAAAAATCAATTTTGGTTCAATATTTTTTTTTTTTTTTTTTTTTTAAATTCTTTTTATTTTTTAAAATCAAAGTTGGTTCAAATCAGGCTGACTTGATTCCTTAAATCAATTTTGGTTCAAATCAAGTCTTTTTCATTTTTAAAATCATTTTCAGTTGATTTTTTTTTTTTTTCTAAATCAATTTTGTTTCAAATTAAACCATCCTGATTTTTTATTTTTCAAAATCAATATTTTTTTTTTTTTTTTTTAAATCAGGCCTTTTTGATTCATTAACTGAATTTTGGTTCATCTTCAGTTTTCTTGATTCCTACACTTCCCTCATACACACACAAATCAGGCCTACATAGTCTTTTATTTATCTGAAGGCAGTGTGCTTTATTCATCCCCATGGACATAACACAATTCCCATAGTACAAACTAAAAATGTTGGTTAAAGTTTGTAAGTCAAACGTACATATTTCTGTACACAGTTGAAGAATTTATTAAACCAATTACTGCTCAGATCATTTCTGAATATATTCTTTCACTGAGTTATATTTCATAATGAAAGAAGGGCCTTATAATTTACTCCATTTGAAACAGTTTTAAAATGGGCAAATAATCAAACATTTTTTTCTGAAACACTAAAGAATGAATCCATTTTTGGATGTACATTTCACTCAATTTTATAACCATTAACAATAAAGCTGTCGAATATTTGGACAGTTGATCCAAATAAGGTTCACTTGAGAAGGAGAACTGCTTCAGTTTCTTTATTAAACATAAATAGATAATAAATTATAAAGACAAGCGGAAAACTTTTTACGCCAACACGTTTCATTCCTTGAGGAACTTTATCAAGTAATGTTGAAAAATTTTATTTAGAAACCTGCATTTACACACTAATGTAGAGAAAAATAAAACAGTAAGTTTTTTAAATTTTTAATTAGATAACATTCTAAAATATTCTAAAACAATATTTTATTGTGTAAAGAGAAAAGTAAACTATGGAGGACACTAAGTCACATAATATTTCAGCCTATGAAATAAAAAGTGAGTTAATGTGTGTTACTGATTTTTTTATATATGTAATTATTTATTTGTATTTTATTTTGTTTAAGCAATTATTTACTTATTCTTAAAGGTCATGATATAACTGTTTTCTTTTAATTTTTAAAATTTTTTATGGTCATCCATAAGTATGTTGGCTTGAGAAAGGAGCACTTTTTTTTTTTTTCTTTTTTTTTTTTTTTTTTGAAGAAAGGAGATATTGTATTTATATCTGAATTTTTACACATAATAAATTATGTTTAACATCTCTTTATTTATATTAACATTATTTAATGAAGTTTTATCATTGATACTCCATTATTAAGCATTTCAAAGAACTAACATTTTTTGTTTAGGGAAAGAGATTTATCCAGTAGAAATATAGTGGCATTTGCTGGGTAGAAACATGATTATCACAGATTAGCAATATTTTAAAACGCTTCATTTTATTAAATTTATTTGTCTATATTTCTGAAATGAGGTATTGTAATTAATTACTCTATTTACATTGTTTGAACTGTTGTCCTCATCTTTGTTGCCAGTGGACAAAATAAAGGGTTCAGTTTGAAATTCCAATCACCTGAAGAAGGCCGAAGCATACAACAGCATGAATTATGAATATGACAACAAAAATGAGAACAACAGTCCAAACAATGTAAATAGTCTAAATTATTAAATTTAGTTAATACATTATTGAAGTACCTGTTACAGTCTCTAATTTTCACACAAACAAACAGTTTTGAATATATGTTATAGAAATTAATCTACAGTCTTATTTTTTCCTCAATCTAATGAAACTTTATTCTCAGCAAACACTTGAACATATTACAGTCTGTTCATAAAATAATTACTTACAAATTTACTGTGTTTAATGGGCTTCATTAGCCAAGAGTTTACTGTGTTTAATGGGCTTCATTAGCCAAGAGTTTACTGTGTTTAATGGGCTTCATTAGCCAAGAGTTTACTGTGTTTAATGGGCTTCATTAGCCAAGAGTTTACTGTGTTTAATGGGCTTCATTAGCCAAGAGTTTACTGTGTTTAATGGGCTTCATTAGCCAAGAGTTTACTGTGTTTAATGGACTTCATTATCCAAGAGTGGGAAAAGATGAAATAAATCACCTCCATTGTTAAACTTCAAACTTTGCCCTTGTTAATATTTCTGAAATTTATTTCCCCAATCCAACCATCTTGGATGTTACTTGCCAAAGAATAACAATGCTGAGTTAGATAAGATACAAAGTATAATCCAGGTGGGATATAAGTTATCTTACCTCTTCCTTCTTGTAACTCTTTGATGAGTGTATACCAGGAGGCAGAGGTGGGGTGCTTGGCATCGACTTTCTGTCATCTTTCCCACTTATCTTCTTTTCTTCCTTCAAGGAAACAGCAGTAAGAGCAGCAGATTTCTTATCACCTCGAAATGATTCCTTCTCTTTTGAATCTTTCAGTTCATTCTTCTCTTCTTCCTGGAGGGTGCAAAATAGACATGACACATTTTAAAATGTAATAGTAGAATGTAAAAACACTTGGCATTTTGTAAGGTAATGGTGAAAAGATTCAACTACAATGTAACCTTCAAGCTTTTTGATAGCAGTAATTACTTTCCCTTAGAATTGTTAACAGAAGCAATTATTTTTCAAATTGGATGGCAAAGATCAACTTTTTTTTACCTAAATATCAGTTTCATAAATTTTTAGTAACTAAAAAGAAACTTGTTTTCAACTGGGCCAAATAGGAAATAAAGATGAAGTTTTGGTAACATTAACTATACCATCCAATTTTTTAAAAATATTTATTCACTACTGATACAGGACAAGTCTTGAACTAATCCACTAATCTTAGTATTTCCATTATTTACATTCTGACTAACATCATCATCTTTGCATATAATTACATTTCGGACATTGTGACCTCTAGCATTTTCAGGTGTCTGCAAATCCAATCCAGGTAACCTCCAAGGAATTCAAAACTGAAGCTTTTATTTAATGTACATTACTTTTATTCTACTGTACATTATGGATATCTTGTCTTCTTATTATTACTGCTCAGTTAGTGCTTACCAAGTTAGTACCACCCGGTCCAAGGATTGAACTCACAATTATTATTGTGTCACCAAATTCATGAAACAACACTTTAATTCATTAGGTTATTGTCCCTTTGGACAGCCACAATGTAATAACAAAGATAACGGATCATAATTAAAAATTGGAAAGCCGGGTTCATTAGATTCACTTACACGTAAATACCCTTGGGAAGGATATGAATCCATCTCTTTTACCCCCAACTATAGGTAAATAGCAAGACAGACTAGGCCCTATAACCTTGGTTGGCAACCCATCTAGGAGAAGGACAACTTTGAATTCATCTCCCCAACTATGGATTAAATAACCTCACTAACCAGCAATTGGTGAAGTGTGGTCAGTAAGGCTACACCCCTGAAAACATGGTCAATCAGGTAGGGGTTTCAACAGCAGGAATGTGAAGACTCTGGATTTGTATACACACACACATATATATATATATATATATATATATATATATATATATATATATATATATTTATTTATTTAACATTCTTTTTTTATAGATACAAGTATTTAAGTAAATGCTCTGTTTTATAATAAACAGTATTAAATAACATTTACCGCCTGAATGTCCGAGAAATTTTCATAGAAAATATTCGTCCTTTGACAGGATTCGAACCTGCATCCTATACGGAAAAAATTTCTCGGACATTCAGGCCGGTAAATGTTATTTAATACTGTTTATTATAAAACAGAGCATTTACTTAAATACTTGTATCTATAAAAAAGAACGTTAAACATAAAATGTCTTTAATAAATAAATTGTCGGATTTGTCCATTTCTTAATATATATATATATATATATATATATATATATATATATATATATATATATATATACACACATTATATATATGTAAAGAAAGATAGCATTTGACCAAAAATCTGTCAACCAGGGTAATTCTGGAAGATAATAGTTTTAAGGCAATCACTTTTTTGTAACTGTAGGGCTTAATATCAAGAGAGAGACAATAATAATAATTAAAATACATTTCTCTTCTATTATGCCTGACTCTACTGTGAATTTTGCAGAATTATATCCACTCTACAGGAAACATGAAAGAATGGATATAATTCCTTAGAATAGAGACAGGCATAGGATAAAAAATTATTATATATATAAGAGAGAGATCATGACAAAAAGCAGTCAATCGTCTTAATTTCTAAGAATAATAAGTGGAAAATGATTATTGGAGCTTTGGTGTTTTGTTGAAATTAAACAGTTTAATATCTTTATTATTTTACCCTGTTAACTATATGTTTATTTCACAAGAGTTGACTGCAGTGTGCCAATTTTTATGACAGAAAAAGAGTAGTGATATAGAGTGAAACAAAGTGAATGTTCAAAATAATTCAACTTGGGATACTAAAGATCCAGTTCTATGGTTATATTTTGTTTTTTTCTCAGCGCTCACCTAAGGTGAATTGAGCCAGATCTGGTCAATGACTGTGTTATCATTGCAAAGGCTCATGAGTAGGTTTTACAATGGGGAAACGCAGTGGAGTCCTTTTCCCTTTGAATATACAGTTGTCTTTTTTCCTAGACTGGTTACCCTCTCAAGACAAGAGGCCCTCCTATTTTACTCCAAAATAAGAAAAAAGATGGATTCATGCCTTTCAAAAAAGCATCAGAGTAGGTAAAACAGCCTCAGCTGGAATTTGAACTCAGCCTGCTGTTTCCAATTTTTATGTGTTGATGAACATTACCCCACTAGTGCATCTCTTATTCTGTAATGCAACAGGATGATGTGATAACATTGTATGTTCACAATATATAAGTATCGATAGGACATTTGCTGACAATGCTATTATGAAAGTTTGAGTGATTTGTGTCCAGAAAGAATTCACTTGCTTAATAGGAAATAGGAAAAGATTTTCTTCCATTTATCCAAATATCCAAAAAGCACTTTACAACACAAATTTAATCCGTTCACATGTCAGATAAGTGTAACAATCAATAAGAAAAGAAAAGCAAATTTATAAATGAAAAAGGTAATAATTTTCAAATATTTTAATTAAATTCATATGTAGGAATAATTACAAGTTTTCTTTTCATAGATATTTTGGAAAGTTGCTAGCATACAAGTGATAAACATGACTTTGGTTTTCAACATCCCCAACCCCCACCAGCAAGATGATCCAAAATTAACCAAGCCAAAGGAGCACCCAGCTGAGGACAAGAAAAAGGAAAGGCAGTTAGGCCAAGAGGGCAAGAGTGGAACGATGGCAATAGGAAGAGGAGGAAAAAAAAAGGAAAAATAAAGAACATTTTACAAGTAAAATAGATAAAAGCCAGTCAGGAATGGAAAGATTTTGGAAACATTTCCAAATAGCAATAGAAGAACCCAATTTTGTTTAACAAAGCAAAAGTTGTTACACGAAAACAAATGTAGATAAAGACAATGTTATTGTTTGTCAACTTTGTCTGATGGATCAAAGATTTTACTTTTAACCCTTTAGCATTCGACATGATCAAAACCGCTCAGTAAATATCGGTTCTCAATATTCAACCAGATATAACCTGCCCCATGTATACTCTGCCATAATATATGATGACATCTTCACAAATAACACTGGAAGTCACGCAAACAGTGAGACTGACCACATACTACTTCTGCCATCTCTTCCTTGTTCGATTAGTGAAGAAAATACTAGTTTTATGATAATTTTTCATCTTTTTTTAATGACAAGAAATCAAGCATCACAAGAAATGGCATTTAGAGTGCTCTTTTGATGTATATACAGCCCAGGTTATCTAGAATCTGAAGAAAAAAGGAAAAACTAGAAGAAATGTCAGATGAATTGGATATCAACATTTCTAACATTATTAGTGATGAACTGGCAGATTTAGAAGAGGATAATGGTGATGACACATGTGTCAGATCTTGGGTTGACAAACAATATCTATCATGTCAATTTGACAGCATTTTTGGAATGTAGTAGACATATACAGTCATTGTCGAAGGATGCCAGACAAGTCAACTATTTGTCTTTGTTCTTTGACAGATTCTTTTTATGAAACTTTGGCAACAGAAAAAAATAGTGTGAATGCAGGGGCCTAGTGAGAGAGAGATGTGTAATGTGAATGCTAAAGAGTTAAAGTAAGACATACAGTTAAAGATTGTTAGATATTAGGTGAATCTACTTTCTTTTGCTAAGTAGTGACAAAAAGGTTCAACAATATTTACTTTGCAAGGGTATAGCAGATTTCCCTAAACTGACCACAAGGGAAGCACAAGCATTGAAGGAAATGGTACTTCACACCTGTTGGTCTTCAAATCTATTTGTCAATCCTTCAGATGAAGCAGCAAGTCTAATTTCATACAGATGGACAACTTTTTTTTAATGAATATTATGGCTTTTACAAATAATAAAAATCTTAACGCCAAGCAACAAAAAAAAAAAAAAAAAAAAAAAAGAGCTTTTTCTCGGGTTTTATTCACAACTAATGAGTTATCATGGATCTAGAAAGTGTTATAACAAAAGTGGCACCTAAGACCTACCAGTTTTCTTTTCAATAATTAAATTCTATTGAGTTGACTTTTAAAAGTTTTTTGCTTATTAATTAGAATATTTACTAAATAAACCAAACTTTGAAGCCAACCCAATATTTACAAATGAAAAAGGCTACAAATTTTAGTACAAATGGCAAAACTCTGACATCTAATTAAACTAATACAGTCTAAGTTACAGTAAGGTTTCCTTGTTATAAACTGTGTTTGACAATTACATAATTATTTAATGTTTGAACGCTGTATTGAGATTAAATAGATAGACAAGCATTCTCGACTTAGTTCCATGATATTTCAGCCTTTGTATCCTGTCTTCTTCAGATGTGTTGTTGTACACTGTTAACCTTTTAGGAATTTCAAACCAAAACCCTTTATTCAATATACAGGTGTAATATTGTTCTCATTTCACTGTGCATACTGGATGATATCAGATAATTCACTTCACTTAATTTGTCATTCTGATATCAGTTGTGCCTTCCACTAAATCAAATTAGATATAGAATACCATATAAATGAGAAAGGATATTAGAACTAAGTCTAAAAAAGACTAACACCTAATGAAACATGTTCTTAGTAGAGAAGTGATATTCAATTGCTCATTAGATGAGGTAAATAAGCAACATTAGGTTTAACACTTCAAGGTTCCAATTATTATTGGCTAAGCAATTGAATCACGTTACCTGACAGTGGTTATGAGTTCAATCCTGAGCTCAAGTAGCATTCAGTGGAATAAGCAAATGGCACCAAAAGAGAAATTAATTTGATATAGAATTAACTGATATGAGATAGCTGCTAGAATGAACCATAAAAATGCAAACTATCAGATCCTGGAGGGTTTGGTTTGAAATTCTTGGAAGCTTACCAACAAAACATACCAGATAAAGGTCAGAGGTTACAACAGCCATAACAACCAAATTGAAGACATGAGTCTGAACTAACCAATGTATAATAATATTTCAAAATTTAAAAACAATTAATATAATATAAAGTATAATTTGTCAATCATACATATTGAATCTTCTCTTTATGTAAGAAGCACTCTAAAGTTTTATGCTGTTATGCTTTAAATATTTTAACCAGTTCTTTTCAAAGATGCCATGTTGTCCTACTTTTGATAGCTTAGCATTACTAAATCCTAAATTGAGTTTCTTTTTGTTAGCAGCATAGCTTATTTTAAAAGTAAATGGAAAAGCAAGAAATAGCAAAATTCAAAGTTTACTAGTAGTGGGTTTCCAAAAGGAACCCAATTTGGCAACTTTGGTTTTGTCTGTAATAGAATAAAAGAAAAAGAAATCCAATTGAAAAAAAATATGAGAGGATATAACAGCCAAAATATGAAAACACATTTCTACTAATTTACTGCCAAATTTATATAAATGTTCTACTCTGTCTTTACAATGTAAAAAGTTAGCCAATAAGACTGACATTTTATAAGTCATTTTAACTGAGACAATAAACATCAAGTTGTAGGTACATGAAGAGTGATTATCTCCCTTTGGATAGGATGCATTCATAAGGATCACATGACAGCCGGTGATTGATGTCAGTTTGTTGGGTGACAAACCACAGTTGCTGATGTAGACTGCTAGAAGGATAGACATCATGACAAACCCACAGTGGTAGGGAAAATAAAGGACATTACCGATTTAGCCATTTTCCCTTCAATAAATATTAACCCTCTTGTTTTCTGTCCCAATCACACTGTTTGGTATGTTTATATGTTATAATCATTCTGTACATGACAAATAGTAACAAGCATATTTGTATATAACTTCTTGTATGACATAGCGGTATATAAAATAATGCATGTTTGTCATTCCTTGCTTTCAGCTATTCTAGTCCATCTGTCCATTGTGCTAAGTTGTTATTATGTCACAGATATAGTAATGCCTATAATGGGGCAACTGAAAATATACTCTTTCCTAGTGCTCCCATTAAATTGATATATAGATGATAATAATTGCATCAAAAGTAGGTTAGTTTTTGTTTTTTTATTCTTTGTTATTTGTCTGACAAAAAAATCATTAAGAACACAGGTAAAATTTAAGATAAATCAAGTTAGAAAGCAATAGAAAAATTAAGGTAGGTCACTCTTCAGTAGCATAAATATTGCAATGAGATGCTTTATTTCATGTAACTTTGGATTTCAACTTTATAGAAAAATAGGAAAGGTTTACTTTGCAATATTATCTAAAAAATAAGTTTGAAAACAAATATGAGCCAAAAGCAGCAATAATAGTAAAATTGTCCTTTTAGCAAAATTTAAGTTTATCAGAGTAAAAATACTCTAATAATAATGAGGAGGATTAAAGAAAAACACCACTAACATAAATAGATGGTCACTTTTTAAATGATTTCATTTTAAAGCTTTCTTTGACTTTTAATAGAATTTCTAGGTTTTTTCAAATCTGTCAAAAAAAAAAAAAAATAACCACAATCAAACCAAATTCTACAATTATTAAAATAGTCTGAATTGACAACCCTTAAAGAGCATGTGCCTCAAGTTTTCTTCCATCACCAATGTAACCAGTTGTTTCAAGGGCTGCCAATAAAGACTTGAAAAGATTGAAATCCAAAGTTCTACTCCCAAATTTCATCCTCATGTGAACATTCCCATTTGCAGTGAATGTAATAATGAAAAACTTAAGATATCATCTGAAAATGTGTAAAAAAAAAAAAAAAAATAACTCTCTGCAATATAAAACTATTGAAATGGTGACCTTGAAAATGTAATTAGATTGGAAAATGTGTAGTATTGATAGTATAAAGCACAACTGATTTCTTGTATTATCTGGAAAATATTACAAACACACTAGTTATTGAATTAAAAATAAGAATCATATTTACAATTACAATAGGTTTGAGGTTCATTGCCTAGAGAGAAAAAAAACAAACAAAAACAACAAAAGTCAAAAAGTATGCATGTTAGGTGTTTGGGGAGAGAAAGCAGACACAACACTGTTTAAAATATGAAATGTACATTGAAATTAATTTTAAGGAGGAATGCAGTGTTTTCCAAACAGTAAATAGCAGGAAGGGTTGTTATTATTATGAAAATGATTAAAAAAAAAAAGCTCCACTGTAGAAAAGTTCCTTATATTACAATAATAACCACTTTTCCCATTTAATTAATGTATAATTATTCTTAATATAAATTTTAACTGTTATTTTACTTTGAGCACTGTTTTAATAACCAGCACTTACAGTACACACACACTATATATATATATATATATATATATATATATATATAAGGCATATTTCAGCAGCAAGAATTCTCTCAAACATGTTTTGTTAAATAATATGGACAAGTTCTGTCTATCAATTTTCTTATTAAATCTTTCAAACTTCTAAGTAAGCTGATTTCTGTTATCGTGCATTATCAGTAAATTTGCCAGTATTCGTATTAACTTTTATTTTATAGCACCCTACCCCAGCCCTGAGTACTTTTGAATCTTGCTACATTTGTTTTCAAGGATTGTTCTGTGTGTAGTTATGAAACTGGTTTTTAATTCTTACATTTGATGGAACCAATTTCAAGTCGCTCAAGGTGATGTCATATAAATGGCGAAACTGAAATTTGTGTGTGTGTGTGTTTATATTATACACACTTCAAGGCAAATTTTATGATGTAGGGTGGGGTGGGGGTAGGCTCAAAGTTCTTTCATTTGTCCATGAAATAAGTTACAATATTTCATCAATAAAACCTACCAAATTGCATTACTAAAACATTCTAAATTCAACCAAGAAACCCTCCCTGCCAAAATTTTATATTTCATCATCTGTTCTGATTTGGGGAAGAGCATGCACATTTAACAACATTTACCGTATTTGACAGCATATAAGTCACTTTTTTTTTCTTTTTTTTTTTTTTTTAAAAACTAAGAATATCTTTTAAAATTCCCCTGCATCTGATATGCCATATGTAGGTTTACTAATTACTAATTTTTTCTTGATTTGCCCTGCTGAAATTGGAGTGCATCGTATACACCCGTGTGTCATATATGCCATCAAATATGGTAAATTTTAAACATATTATGAATAGAAAACTGAACAAAATTAAGGGTTTAACAAAGTTTGGAGAATACTGCAATAAACAGGACATTTTTTTTTTTAATTTAATTCTTGTAATATTTGTGTTGTAATTAGTACATTCAAGCCCATTCAATGCATAGCTATTATTATTAAAGCTTAAAATCTGTAAAACCATCACCAAAAAAAGCTCTTACCAACAAAACTGTACAAGATTTGCATATAGAGAATATTTTAAAATTATTTTAATCATTAAATAAATTCGAATTTATTATAAAACTAATTTGAAAATGTGTGTCTTTTTATTTTGTTATATGATTGTCATTATTCAATCAAAGTTGATCAGTGTGATTTATTTATTGATAATTACAGAGTTAATTCCCTTGTGTCTATTTATAGAGATCAATCACATTTCAATAAAGTATAGTGACTGCAGCTACTAGCAATCAGAATTAGATCTGCCATGGGTTGCTGTAGATAAGCACGCAATATGTTTTGTCTTGTCATTCACATTTGCCCACAGTTGTCCTGCTAGGCACAACATTAACATGATACATAACATCCAGTGAGTAATTTATAATCATCATAATCATCTTGGGTATGAATCAAATGCTGCTTCTTTATATAATAATTTTATATAAACTCTACAAAATATCTTTGTCCAAATGTGAATTGATATCATATGACAAAGACTGAAATTTAATGATGGACACTAAGTTTCTTCTTCTTTTACTAATCCTTATTCATTTAAAAGTAGATGGAGAAACCAAATTCTGTTTTATTATCTTCTAAATAATTTATCAAGAAAGCAAAAATAACTGATAGGTTTGTAATTTTTATAAACGTTTTTCCTTTTTTGATAATAGTAAGCAAAATTCATTGTCCTCTCCATACATTTGTAGTGATAGCAACAAATAAATCACTAAATAACCTCTAACCCTTAAGTACTAGAGACTATGTAGGAGTAACAAACCCAAATAATTAATAAAAGAAAAATTAAAAGTTAAGTAATAAAACTACTTTAAAATACAGATAAGAATGATAATTAACAATAATGACAAAAAAGTGGGATTATAAAAAAAAAAAAATAGTTAAAAATATATGAAAACTCCCATTATGTACCAGAACTAGAATTTTGCTGCCAAATGAAATAAAAAACTTTTTTTTTTCTTTCCATCTTCAATGGCCAAACAAGGCAGATGACCAGAGACAGTTCTCTAACAGGTCATGGGCTACCTCCAGATAAGCACAAATGTTTTATCTCTATATGTATATGTTCTTTAAAATATACAATTTTTCTCTGAAATGTATATGAAAGCCTTTTATCATTTTTGTTTATCTTTATTGTGTTGAATCTTGCATATTATTTGCTTGTAATTTATATATTTCCATTTTGGAGCTGATGATGTCTTTTTAACTCCCCAATCAAAATTATATATATATATATATATATATATATATATATATATATTTATTATGTAAGAAGTACATTCAGACAAGGCTGATATATCCCCAGAACAACATCACAATACATTTCTGTATCTATATTTTAGTACATACAATGTCAAACACAAAACATCTTTTAAGACATCTCATAATTTTTTTATGCAAAATTTACATGCAAAGTTTTTTTTAAAAATAATCTAATTATATGCCAATAATAAAAGCAGAGACAATTTACATTTTATTTAAAATCAGCAAAAAAGATAAGATTCTAAAAGCGATGTTAACCATTACCTCAAGAGTTATCTCCCTTGTAATAAATCCTCAATTTTTAAAATTTTTTTTTAAATACTGTTAGTTCACGCAATATAAGGCTCATGGGTCCTTCAAGGTAGACGGCTCCTCAGTGAGATTGTTGTGAGTGAGTGGGAAGAAGTGCACAGATGAGGACAAATAAGACAGACATTGTTTGAACCTGATTGTAGGAGGCATTATCTTGGTAGTTTGTTCCATAAAGTAACCTGAGTGGCACCTGCTCTTTACCAAAGGAACGTAAAGGGAACGGGGATGATTTGCCACCATGAACATGGCAAAGGTGAATCCAAACTGAAGATCTAAGCTAGTGGAAAGTAACTCATCTGAACATCAGCCATAGTAATAGTGATAAAGTAATGAGAGGTTAGCAATGTTTTGGCTACAGGATAAAGGGTTGCAGGGCAAAAAATAATTCATCACCCGCAAGGCTATGTAAGTGCTTTTGAATTCTGTCAAGTGTGAACAATGGAAACTGGATACTTTCAGCCCAGACAATGGCAGCAGTAATCCATTTATGGTCTAATCTATCTCTTGTAAAGATAGAGCCTGGTAGGGAGGAGTTAGGTATTTTCTGTAGCTGTAAACACATGCACTTTCTATACTAATATATTTTTATCCAACTATCAAACAAAGGGAGATTTTGTTAATCACTGAATTATCATTTTAAATGAATATCTGAATTTCACTCTCTTTTTTTCTTTTTTTTTTATGCAAATGCAACAAAAATGAAGAGTTATGAAAAAAATTTCAAAGCAAGGTACAACTTCTGATCAGAGCAAAGGTGAATTACTTGGATACACAATCAAAGACTTCTCTTTTTCAATGACTGAAGTCTTTCGACTAAACAGTGAAACAAATGTTATCAATTTAGGCATAGCACCCGAGTTACCTCCCTTATAATAGATAAATGGCCTCTTTGTATACGTGACAATAACAAGAATCATTAAAAAAGAGTTGATAATGTTTTCAACTTAAGCATACATATTATTAAGGAAAGCTAAAGTCATCAAATAAAAAAAAAACACAGTTCATTAGTTGAAGTACATGCATTTTTAAATGAATTAAGTGCATGCATTTTTAAATTAAATGAATTTACAGAAAAGCAAAACATTGCACTATATAGTAATGTATCTTCAGAAAGGCATTTATCATAGACTGAAATTTCATGTAATAAAAAAGTCAATGAAAGCGGTCAAGAGTGGTATTTATCTGCATATCCACTCAAGCAGAATGTGACACAAGGTCAAGTTTAAAATGGGAGCCTATATGTACATGAACTAGGGGAGATAATCTCATTTTCATAATTTCATCCATTATTTTTATTCTTGTCTTTTTTATTTCAGTACATGCATTACACACCTTAAAAGTTATGACAATTTGTCTAGAAAACAAAAATAAAAGGAATTCTGTTTGCTATCATAAAACCCAATTTAAAAAACAGTTTTATTTTGTAAGCTATTTTTATGGGGGGGAGGGATCTGAATGTCCAAAATTGATGAACATTTTAATATTTTTTAAAAGTAACAGCTACCAATAAACGGATATGGAAGCATCTTAACACCTAAACAAATCAAGAATGAGGTCTCCTGCGTTTGATTATTGATGCTTAGGAGTTTTTAAGAGCTGAATGAACAATATACATACACATTCCCTTACAATAACAAAGTTTGCTAGCAATGCCATTTTAACTCTTTAATTAAAAAATAAATAAATAAATAAAAAATATAATGAATTGAAAGAAACAAATACATGAAGATGAAAAGGTGACAATAAACAACTTACAGTGTGCAAAAACACCTGGGACGGTGGGCGCTTATTTGGTTGCTTTACCCGATTAGCCGTTAAATGGACAAGTTTCTCAGATGGAGGCAAATCCAAATTATCAAAATCGGGGAAACCTGAAAACATTTTAAATCAAGTTCAGATATTTTTTTAATGATGCTCATGACAAACTCAAACCATCATTTACAATGTAAAACAATAACAGCATAAATATTACCAAATTTGTATAAGCACTTCACAAATGACAATAACCATCTTTAACTAATTCTTAAGTAACCAGTACAAAAGCAATTCCCAAATGCTTACTTAATGAAGTTGCTTTATAGCAGGCACCTAATATATTTGAAAATATTAAAATATTATTCCAATTATTTGTTAAATTATTAAATTTGTTAGATTACCCCACTTATCTGCCAAAGAACTTCTGCTAACAACCACTAGATGGTATTGCCAAAAGTAGTATATAAGAAAAAGGTGTAAAAGTCTCTCTCTGGTTTTCTCTTTTAGCCACGGGACACTTTAAAGATAGGATGTGTCTCATTTCCTTGCCTGGAAGACTTTTTAGTTTACAGCAGACCACACATTATACTGAACAAAATACAGCATAGTACACAGCATATAAATATTTTAAGCTTACTTGATTACACACGGGTATATTTAATAAACACATCAAACCAACAAAGAACTCTTCACACGATATTTCATTTGAACTTTGCACAGACATATGTAAATACAGAGGACACACACACACACACCTTCATTCGCCCCTTTTGTATTTTTTCAGTATAGTTTGTTCAGGCAATAAAATATATTGTTAAATTTACATAATTTTTGTATATTCATTCTTGTAGAAGAAAATTCACTGTGTTCAGTATCAACTAATATCTTTCATTAAATATATCCCTTCAACAATTTGTAATAACCTTCTAACAGGAGAGCTTGGAAAAAAGATTTATTCTATTTGTATTTCCCCCATTATGGGCATTATTATATCTGTGATATAATAACACAGTAATTCATGGATGGAATAGAATGGCTGAAAGGGAAAGGAATGACAAACATGCTTTGTTCTCAGAGAGACTTTTATACTACTAAGACATACACAAATGTGTGTGTGTGTGTGTGTGTGTGTGTGTGTGTGTCACACAGAGAATAATATATCACAAATATCTACAGAGTGAGCAGAGTGTAAGGAGAAACAAAAAGGAAGGGACATACATATAATATGGTAATATTTATGTGCCTGGAGAAGCTATGTTTAGGGCTCCAGATTCAAATGGGTCAGATTCATCTACGATGTCCAAGGCAAGGATATATTCCACAAACGGGAAACAGTGTCTTGGGTTTTCCCAAATTGAGGACTTTCTATATCTGGGAAAGATATATTCCCAAAAGAAAACAGTACTATGGACTTGTAAGCTGCTGGGGAGGCAGATTTAGCCTCTGTCTGGGCTGTGGGGAGCCCTTGTTAAAGAAAGCAACCACTCCATTTGGCTGCTGTAAACAAACTGATGGACTGGCCACTCTTGTAATAGTATGAAGTGACATCACTAAACAGTCTGTCATGTGAACTATGACATCTCCATTGAAGGGAGATAATTACCTTCTGTATCCCACACTGACCAACCACTATAAATCCATTCTTATTGTTACTATGTTCCAGCTGATCCATATGGAAAGTCTGGAGAGTGAAGCAAGCCAGAAAATGGTACCCTAACAAAGAAAGAAAATGATGCCTCTTGAAAGAAGTGACATATATTAACTGATGACCAAATGAACGGACAATTTAAGCCAGTGTAGACATTTTTTTCTTTCTTTATTTTTTACTTAACAGGAAAAAATTAATAGCATCCCTGCATATAAAATATAAAATAACTTGTATTAGACAAATTGTTGAGAATGGAACCTATTGCTGATGTTGGGGTTACAAAATATATATATATCGGCATCCTTAATACTAACTACCATAAGTACAGATATTTAAGGGAGAGATTGGAAGAACATAAATGAAGGTTCTATATTATAGAAAGAGTACATGTCAATAAGGTGTAGAAAAACTCCTTCTCTTCAACCCTGAAAAAAAAGCAACCAAATATTACAAAGTTTGTTTTTACTCACAAATCCAGTACAAAATGTTGCAAGAGGTTGTGCTTTTCCCACATGTCAAGAAAGCATCTTCTTGCAGTGACTGCTTCAGAACTGTTTCCTAGAGATTCACTGACTGACTAGCCAAGCACAGTGAATACTAATTGAGGAAGATGAAAGGAAGTCAACCTAACACCGGGAATAACCATAGCTGATCAGCTACAATTTGCTACCATTTCTCTATCCTTTTAGACAACATGTTCTGGCTTACTCTACCTGATACAAAAAACTGCTCTTTCCATTAAACCTGAGAAAAGTTACAGAATAAATTGGGCAAAATATTGAAGTAGCAACAAAAACAATTGGTTCACTATTTTGAACACCTCTCAGTATAATTAATGACTTCTCAAAATCATAGAAGCTATCTTTATAGAAAGAATATTGAACTACCTTTATCATCTTTGTCCTTCTCTCTATGACTTTCTTTATCCCGGGATTTGTTCTCAGACAGGTTTGAAGTTGAACCTTTCGGGGATGAACAGGATCTGCTCAACTCCTTGTTGTCGATGGTGGACTGTTTTGTTATATCAGGTTTTGAAGGAATTGGCTTCTTTCCAATTGGAGGCGGTGGATAAGGCTTTTTGCTTGGTAAGGCGGGTAATGCAGACTTTTCACTTGAGTCTGGAAGAAAGAAAGAAAGAAAGAAAGAAAGAAAGAAAGAAAAAATCAAATATTAGTGACATTCTTTTTTTTCTTTTCCTTTAAAACAATGGTATTCAAAGACCTACCTGTTAACATTAATAGCCAGAGGTGCACAACACAGGCAAACACTTTCCAAAAATATATATTTGATTTCAAAATACTTACAACCTATATTTGAAAAAGTTTTTTGAAATTTTGAAACTTAAATTTATTATATATTTGAAAAATACAAAATATATGGTAAATATGAATCATTTTTATTTTTGCTTTCACTTTATTGAAAACATATATCAAAAGTAGATGCTTAAAATTGGTTGAAAACCACAATGGACCAAGAAAGGAAATATTTGTCCTTGTAAGACAAACTTGTGTTTTGTTTTATAGCATACAGATGATGTTTTAATGTATGCATCAGATTAAATGGTTGCAATAAGAAAATACAAATGGAAAACTGATATCATCATGTACGAAGTATCAAAATAAACTTTCAACAATAATGATCAAATTAAAACTACAATGTCATTTCTTTATAAGTGTGATTTTCAAATATTTCAATATAAGAGCACCAAAATGTTTTAAATGAAGAGTTAAAAACCTGAAATGACCAAACATTTTACAACAAGAAAGTTTTGTTTGATTCCTTAAATAAAAAAAAAAGGTTTTATAAAGAAATGTATTCTAATTTTCAATTTAAACTAATGAAGATCAACTGCTAGAAAGTAAACTGATCATTTGAATACATGTTAAAATATATCTTCCTTTGTCTACGCTTACAGTCAAATCATGCTGAAAACACCAGTTCTCGTTCAATCACCAGAGTTAAGCAGTGTTGAGCCTGGTCAGTACTTAGAAGGGAGTCTACTTGAGGTACTGTAAGCAATCTCCTACAATCTGAAATATGTTTCAGCTTTAGACAACCCACAAAGGGTTGATAAGCTGTAAGAAACAAATCAATCAATGTTTACTTTATAAAGACTGAATAGAAGATAGGTAACATTTAATAAGATGATAATTAAGAGACAGAAAGCCATGTTCAAAGGTTTAGTATCAAATACTTTCTCACAAAATTCTTTAGAACTTCTATAAATTGTCCTAGAACAATTTTAAGAACACCCTTAGCAAATGTAGGATTTTCATATCCTAATTCAAAGTAATTTAGTTCTTTATTTAATGAAAGTGACATTTAATGAAATCTTATGATAACAAAGATTGAGATTTTGGTAAACTTGGACATTTGTGCCCACAAAAAAAATAGTGACAAAAGGAAAGTTTTTCCCTTGACACTACTATTGTTTTAACTACCTTCACTCTTTGGTAATGTTTATTGTCTTAAAAAGCAATGATTATAATTGTAATAAAACCTAAATATATGATGAAAGTGAAGTTATACATTTTTCGTTTTTGAGAATCTAGAACAAAAATAATACTATTTATTTATTAGACTGTTCATTTACAAGAATTTTGTATTTATAACATTCTACAAACCAATACAATTAAAATTAATGCAATGCAATATTTATCATTTACCAATTTATAAAGAAATAAATATGAAAACAATTTTTTATTCATAAATTTATTAAAATTTAGTAAATTATTCAAATATATGAACCCACTATAAGGAAATCCTTATTGTTTACCATTTTATAAAGTTTGAATCACATTCCAGTATGATAAATAAATAGAAGAAATAAATAATCTAATAATGTTTATTATTTTTCTTGTAAATTCTCAAAAACAAAGAAAATGTATAAATTCACTATCATATGTTTATTAAAATTCTAGTTATTGCTTTTTAAAACAATAAACATTGCCAAGAAGTGAATGTAGTTAAAATAATAGTCAATGGAAAAAAATCCTTTCGACAAACTGTTTTTCTATGTCCAAATTTGCTGAGATTTTCTACTTTTGTTATTTTGTTTTGGAAAAAATTTCTATTTTCTGTTGCTCATTTATCCCTTTTCAAGTCCACATTTGCATAATTGATGTATACAGCAAAAAATATTATTGTTTGTTTCAGTAGACATATCTAAATGACTTTGCCTTAGAAAAATAATATTATTTAATGTATTATTATAAATATAGCAATGGGACATTATGTCTGCTTTCTCACATATCAATGAGTTTTGAGGACAATTATGTTCTGCAGGACACGTTGAAAACATCCGTGGGACACATGTCCCAGGAGACTCTAAAGGGTTAACAAACTTTAAAATGTTTTAAAAATTATAGAAATCATAAAAAAAGACATGAAAAGCACATTTGAAAACAACAAAAATACAATTGAAAACCATTTAAAGTCATATTAAACAACTGCAATAATTCAAAAAGGGGGTAACAAAATGAAACAAAACCAGGTAAATCTTCAGCTGTTTCACAAACTTCAGTAACATATAATGGTTCAACACTGCACTGTAAAGAGGGGGGTGTAACAGCTTTTTACATTACAAACAAATATAAAGAGAATATCATTTCAATTGCAAAATACAACTTTAAAAAAAAAAACAAATAGGATAGAGGTCAAAGACTGGACTGGATGACACAGGGCAGAGAGATATAAAAACCTGAATCACAATAGAATACAAATCGCTTGAATAGACAGACAAAAATGACAATTCATGTTGAGTTTTTTCAGATTTACAAGCTTTGATAAAAAAAAGAAAAAACTTTAATTTATTGGCCAAAGGAAAATAGATTTACTGAGAATTGTTTCTGGGATAATAGAGAGACAATATGACAAGAAACAAATGTTTCTGCAATTAATTTTACTTTATTTTAAACTAAAGAGAATTTTGTATATTTATGATAGGATAAATCAAAGTATTCAAAATTTATTTTAATAATTTAGCAGCAAAGATGTCACTTGTAGATATACACATTTCAAACACTTTCTTTTGAATGAGAATCAATGATAGCCTAGTCTGTAAATATTAATTATTATTTTCAATTTTTGAAGAAAATTTTTTTTGCTGTGGATGCAAAAAACAAGACAAGATTATGATCAATACGTTGTCCCTCTTCAACAAAATGTTTTTCTCATAATTTAATACCATAAATTAATCCAAGAAAGTATGGTAATTTTCTGACGAGTCATTTATCACTGAAAGTCAGTTTGTATATGAGGAGATGAAAGCTAGATACTCAGGATGTCAAAACTTCCATCTTTTCAAAATTATGACCAATATTTAATATTTGTTTCAGGAGAGCTCAAAAAGAAGTCATGCTGCTAAAATTTCCAAAAAGAGATTCTGGAGAATATTAGAAAAATCAAATAGAAAAATGCATGGGAAGGGTTATATTGTAAAATTCAACATAACAACAAGTGGATTTGACAATGAAGAAATAAAATTAATTAGGAGCAACACTTATTTGCTTTATTGATTTTAAAAAGCATGCACCCAGACACTGATTATATGCCACACCCAACAGTCTGTATACCTACTCAAAATATTTATATCCAGAAATTCAGATTTGCTAACATTCAAAAGAATAGTTTAATCTTTGAAGTGAGATCTTATGGTCAGATATCAATTAGTTTAATGTAATGGTTTGGTTAGCAAAAGTGATGGCATGATAAAATATAATTTCTGATTGGATGAATTATCATTCAAATTCAGTAAATAAAAATATTTTTGATCTATTTTCCATACAGTAAATAAACTATTCTGCCACTTTGGTTTAGATAAATTTCATGATTACAAAAGGTATTTAGCTTATAACAAGATAACAAAACATACAAAACATACAATTTAAGAAAACTATCAATAAAATGCAATCCTGTATTGGCATTTTTATTTTCTCAGCATACCGATGCCTACAGGTAATATAAAGCATTATTTTGATTTGTTAAATTTGTTGGCTTCTATTTGTAATTGAGAGGATTTAAATCCTTATATCAGGAGACATGCTGAAAGCTTAACAAATCAATTGAGTTAAAAGCAATTAAAAAGATAGCCAGTCAATATTTACACTTCCTGATCTCCTATAATATTCAATTGTATATATCTATAAGTAATAGATGCTCTTTAGGCTGCTACATGTTTATTAGAACAGTTTGATATGATTCTAATAGAATTTACCAGTGAAAACAGCTTACAAAAACTGATGATAAATTAATTATCACTAATAATCATTATTGTAGGTTTTGCTATTCTGGATGAAATTGCGTATCATCATACTTTTCCAATAGGCTCAAATAAAATATGAAATTTACAATATTAATAAATTAAATACACTTGTTTAGTTATATCTTGTTTACTTAATCTTAAAGAAACATCAAATAAAAATAAAGCATTTTTTTCTTAAACAAGCAAGCTTAATAGGTTTGCTATAATGTTAAATACAGGTTCCAGTTCATGACTAGCCTGTTTTGCATTTATGTGTTATTTTGCTAGATTGTATAACAAATGAAGCAAGCAAAAAAGGCACTTTATTACCAGTTCATAAAACAAAAAAAAAACAAAAAAAACAAAAAAAAAAACAGCTGATCATGTTCAAGCAAAGCTATACTAGAATTGGCAGCATTGGTCACAGCCAGGGATCATTTGATAGCACTGACCACCAGGTATTTTGAGACTAGATCATTAGACATGACCTGACCCATGGATGATTAAAGGGAATGAAAAGCTCTTTGTCAGCAGGAAAAAGTGGGTATAGGGAATTATTCTTCAGATGATATTTCACAAAAGTCATTACCTTTTAAAAAAGATAAATGTTAATAATTTTCTTTTCTTCTTTTTCATTATCAAGTAATCACAGAGATAAAATTAATAGTAATATATAGTTTGTTTTTTTTTCTTCCATAAGGTTGAATGAAAACAGTATCATGAAAACTACAACTGACTTTTGGGAGTTAGCCAAAAACTATAATCAACTAACAAAATTCTATAATAAGCAAAATAAAGAGAAAAAATTAAATCAACATTCTTATTGCAATTAACAATATAAAAATATGGTATACAAATCTATATATTAGACTAACAGTGGGTAACTCAATGATAAAATGAAGAGAAAAAAAATCCATGTAATGCATTTCATCTAGGAACTTCTTTAGACTAATAATGCTTTTATCGAGGGGGCCAGAAGTAATGGTTTTTTATTTATTTATTAATCAAACAGCATTATTTTCAGTGGAGACCCATATTTGAGTAGATGCTCCATTTATTTTAAACAGTATATTTATCTACTAGTCAAATTTACTCCAACATCCAATGTGATACTATATATATATATATATATATATATATATATATATTTATATATATATATTTGGTTGGATAGATGTGAGTTTGTGACCCTGGGTTTCACGGCTTTAGCGATCGTCAGACAAACTGATTAATGTTTTAAAAAATTTGGGTTTATGTAGATTTTTAAAACATTAATCAGTTTGTCTGACGATCGCTAAAGCGTGAAACCCAGGGTCACAAACTCACATCTATCCAACCAAATATGTTAGCTCTATCTCTGATATTGAGCGCTTTCTAATAAGTACCGCGCATATTAAACTGATCATAAAAATACATATTTGAATATTTGTCTCTAATAAAAAATTTTGAATATTTTGATTTATTTTTCCTTTTTCGATGTTTATTTTGAAGGTCTTAAAAGAAAATTTTTGGTTTTTGGTTAAAAAAAATAAAATGGACAATTTAATTAGCTACAGAAATTTACATTTATTAAAAAATATAAAAGATGGTTACATTTACTATTGAAAGATTATAAATAACATTTTCAGGTTAAAATACTAATGATTATGAAGTTTGGAGAATCTGGAGGGACAACTAATTTCTCGGTATCAGCAATTATATGATAAGCAGAATACCATGTGGCAAACCACACTATATAAGTTTTTCATATAAAATTAAAACGTAAGCAAATTGGAAATTAATTGTGAACGAGACTAAAATTTGAAAATTACATCATTTCTTATAAAGTTATTATATTCAATTAATGTGTTTTCAATTAGTGCATATTTTTAATGCAAACATTAGCCGCACTAAACTAAAGGGATTCTTGTACTGCTTAAAATAAACAAAGCGTCTACTCAAATATGGGTATCCACTAAAAATAACATTTAAAGTGATAAATATGAGTGGACAATGAGGTCAACACACAACAGCAACAGTCTGTTTGATGATTAAACACAACCTTCAAATCTTCAATGCCCACTTTTATATTTATATACATCCTATCCCTGATATATAGAGAGCAATAAGCTGTAAATATATATATATATATATATATATATATATATATATATATATATATATATATATATATATAAAAAGAAAGAACAGTAAGATATAAAATCCGTGTTCTTATAGATATTTTTATTTTTACAAAATAGTGCTCAATGTAAATTTACAAAGCATTAATATTATAAATTAATTGATTTAAAATATGTTTTTTTTTAAACTACACAGTTCAACCATGTTTCAAAAATAGAAGCTAAAACCCCAAATTTAATTTTGCAATTAAATTAAAAGCATTAGTTCCATTTCATACTCCAAAATTCGCTTGAAGATGAAATGGAAGTAATACTTTTAATTTAATTGCAAAATTAAATTTGGGGTTTTAGCTTCTATTTTGAAACATGGTTGAAACAAGTAGCAAAAAAAAACCATATTTTAAATCAATTAATTTATTATATATATATATATATATATATATATATATATATATATATAAATTTCTAAGGCATTAATAAATTTTTTTTAATTTCCAATCCAATATTATTTCTTAATCCATTTATTATTTCTTATCAATTTAAGTATATTTTAATGTTTGAATGGAAAATGCTATAGACACAGGGATGTCTAACTTTAAATTCTCTGTTGTACTTGGATGCATAACTTAGCTGTGTCTATCACTTTTGTTTTTAGCATTATTGATTTTAAATATCCCACTTTGTATCAACATTAGTTTTGTTATGAAAGGAGATATGTTGTACAAACCTGTAAATTTCCAAGAGAAAATACAGAAATTAGTGAAATAGTAAATAGTTCAATAAATTTTAACCTCAATAAATGATTACTTCTCTTAATTAAAGCTGTATTCTTTAAGTTGAAATTATGGTTAAACATATTACAATGAACAACTAATGCATTGAAGTTATTTAAATTCCTACATGTTTTACCAATGTATTACTTGGGAAATGTTTTTACATTCATTTTTTTTTATAAAAAATTCTGGTTAAAAGGTTGTTATTTTTATCTTATTTTGTGTTAATTAAATCTCTTATTGCTTTTGAAGTCATTTTCCAATTCCCATTTTATCATTCAATTACCCATTACAAATTCATAAACTAGTTTTTATAAGAGCAAAATATACAAGAAAAACATCTTAAATATAGTACAGTTTGTCCCTATTTCACCTTTCTTTAAAAAAAATTACTGCTCTCCCAAACAAACGTACACAACAATATCGTAAAATCAAAAGAAAATGGTTGAATCCGCCAACACAATTATAATGACAATATTCTCCACATATGACAATAACTGACATTATTTTCAGTTAACAATATGAAAATAGTGTTTTCTACATTCCTCCAGTTGCTAAGAACATTCTGTTTTTATTATTATTAGTTACTTTCTTTAATTAAATTCATTTTGTTTTTTGCTCTGAGAAAGTCCACATTGGATGAAATGCGTCAGCAATAACTACAGTTTTCCTATTGTCATTTATATTTATAAATAGTACTGTTTGTATTATATTTTACTAAATATACTAAAACAGAATATTTACAAAATTTACATTGTTCAGACTGTTGTCCTCATCTTTGTCATATTCACAACATTTCGGCCATTGTATGTTCTGGCCTTCTTCAGGTGATCTATGTTGGAATAGTATTAATACTTATAACATCTCAGAAATATAGACAGATAAATCAGAACATAATCGTTACCTGAAAAGCCACCTTATTTCAAAATTTATTGACAAAAATGTTTTCTGTAAGGTTCAAAATCATTTTTAACTGTTTCCATAGTTTGATGTTAACTTTTATACAATCTCCAAAAATATTAATGATAAAATGAGAAAGATCAGGAAATAGTTCCAAAAGAAGACTTTTGCAACAAATTATCATCCAAAGAATAATTAAAGGAAAAAAAAAATGCAAAAAGGGGTTTTTCATGTGCCCACCTTGAAATCAATTTGCCACTTGGTAAGAATAGTGACAGTTGGGTTGTAGCATATACCTACTTGGATCAAAAGCTTCAGTTATTAGGTCTTACTTATAATTATTTTGAAAGCAGAAAATAAAGTGTTCCAACAAACAGATTCTCACCAAGGGACCCAGCAGTTGATTTATAACCTCCGTTAGTTGTGACACTTTGGCTAAGGTTTTTCTTAATCCAGGAAGTGCTATCTGAGTAAGTGAAATAGTAAAGAGAGACTTTAAGAGACAATCGTAAACAACACAGGGAAAACTGCAAAGAAAAAAAAACTTGGACTGATACCAGGAGCTGAAAATGGTAAGAGAATCAAGAAATATATGGGTTGACTCTGTTGGAAATATCCACAAGACATTCAGGAAAATAAACCTAAATATTGGAAACAAAAAGTATTATAAAAACATTGGCAGATTTAAAAAAAAAAAAAAAAAAAAAAAAAAGAGAGAAAAAAAATTATTCCTATTTTGTAACCCACAATTTATCATGAAATGGTTTCCAAATTATCAGGATTCTCCATCTTTATGACATATTGAATAATAAAAACATAAGGAAAGTATATCATGTTAACTGAAAGAGTTACTGAAAAAATAAGCATGACAGAGTAGCAACAGTCATACACTGGGAACTGTGCAAGCATGTAAACAAATGGCATCAATAAAAAAAAAAAAAATAAAAAAAAATGTCCTGAAAAATAAAATAGATTAAATAGATTGTGAGATTGATATCCAGGCTGACTATTCAGGCAAGAAAACTGGATCTGATCAGTTCTTTTTTCCTTATTCATGAATGAATAAGAGAAAAAGAACTGGTCAGATCTTAGACATACTTGTGCCAGCAGACCATGAAGGAATGTGAAGTAAATTGAAAAATTGGGAAAATACCAAAAACCTTGCCAGGGAGCTTAGAAAGTGTGGGACATAATGGCTAGTGTTGTGCTTGTTATTGTAGATACACTGGGAATCGTAACAAAAACATGAGAATCAAGGTTAGCTGAGTGAGAAATTTGAGGAAATATTGAACAAACTGTGGAATTGGTGGAATACTTGCAAGGATAATAAGAAAAGTGCTGAAAATTTAAGGATAATTCTAAGTGTTTAGAGATCATCACTAGACATGTGAACATGCAAATTCATGGTGGGGGTGACAAATGTAACTGAAAAAAGTGCACATGATTAGAAATATACATGGTGTTTAACCAGATAGAAGAACTGAAATGTTAAAATGAATTCTATCTTTACAATGACTGACCTTGAATATCAGCAAACATTTCAAATAGGACCAGAATATCTCTCATGTATATAACTTGTTTTATTTTTTTGCTTCAGCTCTATTTCATAAACTCCTTTTACAAATTCTCTCTTCTTATTCTCCCATGTTTAGGACTTTAACACTTAAGACATACATTCAAATATGTCAGTAAAGTCAGATGCTTATTCAATTGATTTTGATTCAAATCCTGTCAATATTTACTGAGAGAAGTTCAAACATTTAGTAAAAAACAAACAGGTGACAATATCATGCTGAAAGAAAGAAACCAAACCAAATATAGATTCTAATTGTAATTAGTCAAACTTGTAAGGGAAATTCTTCATATCCAACTAGCATATAATGCTTATTTAATTATATATTTTTTAAACTGATGTTAACTGAAAGCATGTGTAATTATCTAGACTAGTGTTTCCCAACGTGGACACTAGAGCTCCCTTGAAATGGGGCATTGGGTGTTTTTATTTTATTGTGGGTAGGTACTCAGTGGGGCAGTGGTCATTTATCTTCTTTTTTTTCTTTCTTCTTTTTCCCCCCCAAAATTTTCAAAAATTATCCAATATTGCCTACAAAAGGAAATTTCTGAAAGGTATCTAAAGCTGTGAGAAGCTATCAAACTTTTCTTCATTGCTTTTCCAACTTCCTATATGACTGAATGTGGTTTCAATATACTTAGCTTCTTACTAAACAAAGAAACTACCTGCAAATTACAAAACCAGGATATCTATGATTACTTCCAAGAAGCATATAACCTCGAGTAAGAGCCTTAGCCAGTAAGCACCAAAGTCAACCATTGCATTGAAAACATTGAGATAAGCTATCAAATAAAAGGTTTTTTTTAGCATTTTAATCATTTATAATAGAAATGAAAACAATATTAAAATTATTTTTGAACTAATACCAGCCTAAATGTTATTTTGTTATGAATTCAGTAGAATATTTGAAATTTAATTTGACAGGGGATGACAAAAAGTTTGTGCCCAAAGAGGACACTGACTGAAAAAAATGTTATGAAATGCTGATCTAGATTCTAACTAATAAATGCTATTTAGACTATTACATGTTTTCAAGCACTGTTATGATGCTTTATCAGAGACGGCAGTTTGGTATATATAACTCATGGCAAATAATCATTAAGACAGAAAAACGTAAATCCCTTTTACTTACGAGTTAGTTTTATGTTATCAACCGAACTCGCTATAGTGAATTTATTAAATAGATTTTACTGGTCACTTGTTCTGAGAATGGAAGAAAAATAAAGTTCCAGTAGAAAGTCTTCTGAAGTGATTGCATGTAAATTAACATTAAAATCAGTTAAAAAAAAAAAAAGAGAATAACAAGAAAGACGAATCAGCTGTAAAAACAAATATGAAATCATCTGTAAAAAGAAACATATAAAGTTGAAAGAAAAATTATACATTAAGAAAATGTACAATAGGCAAGAGAAAAAAGGAAGATCTTTAGCGCATCAACTTTAATTTAGAAATTTAAGAATTTTTTTCCAGATATAAAATCCACAGGTTGAAAGATTCAAATCAAAATATGTAAATTAAACTTTAAATGTATAAATAAAAAGTAAATTTTCATTGGCTCACAAAAATAATACAAGCTAAAATTCAAAGCAACAATAAAAAACAATTAATCAAGGATCAATTAGACAAAATCTACATAAAATGTATATAAAAGAAAAACAGAAAAAGTATACATAAAAACTAGGAATAGTTCTGCCAAAGTTTAAAGCTTACTTAAAATAATCAAAATGAACTTAGAAAATTAATAAGAAAGCAAAAATGTCAGAAAGTTAATTCAGACTTGCAGAAAGAAATGACAACCTACTGTATGAATCCTTTTCTCCCTCTAGCTACAGGTAAATAGCAGTTCAGACTTGGCAAGAGAAAAAAGTAAGATAATTGGATAGCAACTGGTCTACAATAGAAAGAAATGGCAATCTACTGCGAGGAAAAAAAATCTGCCTAGTCAGTCATGTATTGAAAGATATATGATTGCCTAAGTGTGTATCACACATGGCACATAACTGAGTGACTGTGGGAAAATCTTCTGCCTAGTCAGTCATGACATGAAAGAGACATGATTGCCCAAGCGTATATCACTGATATTATTAATTGACTGAATCTGAATATTGGCTAAATTTTTTTAAATGCTTAAAGTAATAAAAAAAAAAAAAATGAAAATTTTCCATTTTCTAATAAATATATTCAAGAACTTAAGGAATGTAAAAGACAAAAGTGTTTTCCAAGACAAAGTCAGCATTGTGATTGGTTTTGCATGCACTTTTCATTTTAAAATGCATTAAACTAATTATAGAGTTAATTATAAACTTCAAGAATATTTGTACACCAGAAACTACTCATGGGATTCAAGTAAAGCACCTATGCATATGTAAAGAGTTGATAATTTCAGGAACTCATAGATAAGAGCCTCTTTTAATAAAAGCAGAATCACGAGAAAACTCTTGAAACTCTCCTGAACACCAGACTAATTTACATGATCAACAGAGGACCAGATTGCAATCAAAAGAGCCAAGGCTGCAGCAAGGAAAAGAAAAATAATAAATATGACAACAAAGATGAGGACAATAGTCCAAATAACGTAAAAAGTGAAAAGAAAGTTCCGTGCAAATGAAAACCCAGATCAAACAGGAGAGTTTCCAATGCTGAGAATAGGCAAAGACTTAGACACTCTCAAACTCCTGAACAAGTCAAAGATTCAATCAAGAGGCCTCCACAAAGTCTAGTTTAATTGCCACCCGATAAGGCAACTTTTAAGTTAGTATATTTATAAACACTTATCAAATAAGTTAACTAAATTTTTTAATTTAAAATTTTCTATACAGACAACTGTTAATCCCGTGACATGATAACCAAAAAATTAAATATTCAATTTATATATAAACTTTTGTTCAACACATTTTGTAAATATTATAGAAAGCAAAACAAACATTAAAAATTATGGGTTATCTAAATAAATACTTAAAACGTTGATTTATTACATTTAGACTATTTTATACCCATGCTTTTCAGCCAACATTAATCTTCAAAAATTTAAATGCATTATCTAATGTCTTCTTGACTAGTGTTCTATTGTTCTCTCTCAATGTTTTACCTTTTATTCTTAATTTTCACACTCAATAACACCTTGTCTTTTAGTGAATTTACTGCCTTGCAAGGGGTGAAATGATTTTATATATATATATTATAGAGTTTGACTAAATATACACACACATATTTTGTGTGTGTATGTACTTATGTAAGATTGGCAAATTAGTTCATATGTTTTTAATCATAAAACTTATAAATAAAACAGAAATAATAACTGATTTTTTCTTTTCTTCTTTCAAAGTCTTAGCTGATAACTTTTCCATTCAAAGAGTAAGTAAAAAGTTATAAAATGAATATTTTTTTTTCTAGTGGAAACTTAGGAAATGAGCCAATCATGCACAAAATGTGGTCAACAATCATTCTGGAAAACAAAGATGAAGCCTGATTGCAGCCCATGTAAATATTTCTCATTCTTGATATCCGTTTAAGTACATTCGTTCTTAAATATTAAATCATTTGAAAAGCATGATCTCAAATCTGCATCTTTACTTCTCTCTCTGCTTGATTTATTCTAGAACAGCTTGTCTTATGATGTTTAAGTTCAATCTAATCCAAAGATGAACAGTAGCATCAGCAGCAGGCAAGATGCACTGAAAGAGGATTCAAAACAGTTCCAATTTTCCAGTTCAGTTTTAATCAGTCAATAAAACAGTGGTCATAAGATTAAAAGCAATAGCATGGAGTCTCTGCCTTATTATTTCAATTAATAAGCACTAATTACTGCTACAGATCAAAATATTTCCCCTCTCCATAATAATACGAATGCCAGATCCCAGACTTGCAGGATCCATCATTTAAACATAATACACTGAACAAATCAGCAAACCGATTATTTACCACATCTTGGAATATTTTATAATATCAATATTTTATTGATTTTTTTTTTTTTTAAACATTAAAGTCAATGTTTTTGAAAACTAAAACATGTTCATAAATGAAGTTAACATAGCATTTTTAAAAATTAAGCAAAAGAAAAATTTTCTTATTTAAATTAAAATTAGTATCCCAATGTATTCATATTCTTAAATTTTCATCTAATAATCTTTGATTTTTCATATGGCAGAAAATTATCAGATCATGAAATTAGAAGTCAAGATTTTAGTTTCTGGCCAGGTTTTAATAACATTAATTCTTTCTAAACAATAATATTGTTTTCATAGCCAATCATAAGCACCTATAATAGAAATTGCCACTTGTTCTTATTCTATTTCATATCCATTTTCAAGATGAAAGAGATGTTTTGTTAATACATATTGAAGTTAGACAAGATGAATAGAAAATATAAGATTACTAGATAGAATTAACTTGTTGTGTGTAACAGGGCACTGGCCCTGTTTTGATGTTTAGTTGCATGAGAAAGAAAAATGGTAATTCGAGGTGATTAAAAAATTGGAAATAAATTACAAAAATTCCACAAGAGATATCTTAAATAATTAGGAGGAAAATTGGAAAAGAAACAAAGATTTAAAAGTTAAATCAAACATAAAAATGAATTTGATGAGGGAATCAGAGAGAATTTGCTGAAAAGTCATTAACTTAGGAATTTCTCATAGGTCTTCTCTCTCTCTCTCTAATAAGAAAAAATCTTTGCTTGGATTTCTGAGCTGAAAACTGATTCAAGAAGGATAAATTCTAAATACTACAATGCTAAACCACAAGGTATTTCTCATTAAAAGTTGGAGAAATGTTGGTTTTGCTGAGGCCATGTGTTCTTTAACAATGGACCCACCAGGCAAAGGTGGAAATTTTTACATATATCAATGTCAAACTGGAAAAGGTGTGTCCAGGGAGTATCACTTATATAAACCAGAGAAACATTTGGGTTCATTAGTCACTGAAAGATCTCAGGAAAGGTGCTAAGAAAATCCACATTGCTCAAAAA